ACAAAAAAAAATTTTTCAGAAAAAGGAGAAGACTACTCAACTTAACAGAAAATTATTGATTAATCAAATAATATCGGCAAAAAATACTCTTAGAAATACGATCAAATGTTATTTTTGTTTTACAATTTTTAAAAAACAATTACCTTTTTTTTAAATCGTGATGCTTTTGATATCCTACAAAATTACAAATCCACATCAAAAGTGATATAACTTGAAATCTCACCAATAGTTTGTATTTATTATGATCAGTTAAACCTATTATTATAATAATTCAAAATAAAATGATGAATTTTTTTCTTTAAATTTAATTATCAAAATTATCTAAACTCAAAATATTTTCTGTAGATTTTTCTTTTTATTTACAAAAATAACACAACTCGAATATGTTACTCTTGTAGAAGATATTGTGATCTCTTTAAAAACTTTAAAAACAACACAAGTGTTATTTGACGAACAAAGTGTAAAGGTAGGTTAGTTTATTTTTTATAATTGATAGAGTAATTTTTACTCACTCATGATAATAATTTGAAGATCACATTTTTTTTTAGTTGTTACTTTTGAAGTAAGGAAAACAAGGAAATTATAAGATAATAACATAGTTGATAAGTTATATCTCATTAACTATATATGAACTTAAATAGAAAGTAAATCGAATAATCATGATTTTATATTCAAGAAGAAAATTCAACATATAATCTAGTGTTAACGTAGTAACATCATTTTATGGAATATCATAATGTCTTCATCTCACCTCAATTCGAATTACCATTCTATACAGGTCTGATGTAATTTACATCAGAGATTAATTTAATAGTTTAACTTTATTACAGCACCGCACAGATATTCTTCGTTAATATGCTATCAGATGTAACTATCTGAATTTTCTTTATGTATAAAGTTTTATGTATAAAAACAGCTTAACCACTGAAACTAATAGTCCATAATTTATAATTTATTAATAATAGTCCATAATTTTGATTTATGCAATAATTAGCGGAAATTAAATTTCGTCCATACTTTACATATATTTATTAATTAAACAATTTTCAAGTAAAAATGAAAAAGAGAATTAAATGTCGAATGAAGATGTATCGAATAATTATGACATCACGCATTTAGATAACAGCGAGCGTAATTAAGCGGACAGACGCGAAACTTGGCGCAGGATGTGAAAGTAATTTAACACAAAGAAATATTTTCGCAAGGATTCGCGGCGGGTAACAAAGGGAATTTTAGCAAGAGCCTGTTACAGAACAAAGACTGTTATCGTTTGCTAAAGTTGACTCACGATGTTGATTCGTCTAATTGGAGAGAGGTTTTTTTAGTCCTTTAGGGGGCGAGACAGTTAAATGTTAGTTGAATGGTTTACCGACCGTGGGGTAAATAGCGAGCCCATCAAGAACGTAGCTCTGCGGCTAACGCAAATTTTGACTAGTTGTTTGTGATAACAAGGCGCAAATGAAATTCCCCGTGCCGAATGTTAAGATTGCCCTTTTAAAATCCTCTTCCACGTTTCCGCGCACACAAATGATTATTGACACATTAAGTTTCGTGATTTTATTATATTTTACAAACATAACGCTCTTTATTCTGTACAAAGGAAACATAAATCGCATCACTTTATTAATGAATAAATTTAAAGAGACTTTTATATAAAAATAAATGAAAAAGTGTCAATGCACTTTCATAAATTACATTTTACAATTTGTCAATTTTTATTTTTGGATTTCGTATTTATATACAAAAATGAATAGGGGGTATTTGAAAAAAAAGGAAAAAGAGAATATTTCGTTAAAACAATAAACGTTTTACAAATGCATTGAAATCCGCACTTTGCATATGTACAACAAACGAACATATCAGGGAGATTAACTGGAACACTCATTGGCTGTTTATTTTGCATCATTCATAGCAAACAGAAGTAATTGGAGGGTCAAAGGAAAGTGATTATGTGCGGTGAAAAAATCATTGAACACTCAAGAACGATGGATACAGGTGCGTTCAGTGAAATGGAGATCGATACCCGTGGAGTCCCAAAATTCGTCAGCCGCCCTCTTTCGCATCCATCTCCCCTTACAATCGCCGTTTTAACGTCGGCGGCTACCCCAAGCATTTATTTATTTGCACGTGATTCGTATGCCGTACGTTGTCTCGTTTCCCGCTATTCGGGTTCGACGAGAGGGTGATGAGATAGAAGGGAGGAAAGGAAGGGCGAGAGGGAAGGACTCCCGAAGGTTGAGAACGCGACGCAGGACATAGCGAGGGATGAGATTCCCGCGAGTCGCGCTGGGGCTGTAAAATCTACGAGCGAGACTCAAAACCTGTAATCACAGTTCGCACCAGTCGCCCACTATGATGGAGCACTTTTACGAGAGGAGGAGAATGAAGAGAGAACTGCGCGAAGTTGGAAAAAAGCAGCGGATAACTCGAGCTTTGCTGTCTGGAGTTTCAAACGTTGGGCGAATTTCTTTTTTTTGATTCATCCGGTTAGCCTTTTTATTAAACCAACATATTTTTAAATCAAGTAAGTGAAGAAGATTATATTCGGTTCAAAGCGGGTCTTAGTATCTAATATTTTTGTGAATCTTGCAATCTCCAGTTTAAGCAAGTAAGATCCGTATAAAAATATTATTGGGCATCTGATTTGACATGGTCTTCCTCTTATTTGTATTCAACATTTTTCCATCAATTTAATATAATTTTTAAACTTTAGGAAACTGCTAAAATAACGTTGAAACAGTGTTATATTTTGGAACAAGAAATACAAAATGAAATATAAAAATTTTATTAAAAAAAAATGTATTTTAAAAATAAACTGTTTTCTAAAAGCTAACTCTTCTTTCAATATATACACTCCAAAAACAGTGGTATCTATATAATTTTTATTGTGTTGCTGTTAATATTAATAGCAATGTATGGATGTTAATATTAATAGCAAAATTTCATATCTCTTGAATTTATATCAACATTATAGTGTGGATTTAAAATGCATAATATTAAATTTCATCACATTATGTTTTATCTATACTAGATCTATACTAGAGGTGTTAAATTCATATCAATAGTTTTTATAATTTAAATATCTACAAATTTATCTAAATACAAACCTGAAAATAATTTTGTTTGGACTATTAAATATTATTTAAAATGCTCAAGATAATTGTTAAAATGTCACAAATTTTTATAACTTTACTAATCATGCTTGAGCGTATTTTGATGATCTCACAAAATTATTTTTGGATTTATATTTAGTTAAGTAAATTTTTGAATACTTCAACATCCTTTCTATGTACTCATATCGAAAAAAAAGTAACAATTTAAAAAGTAACAATTTTTATATTTTTATGCAAATTTCATTATGACGTATTCGATCTCAAATTCACATCTTTCGAATAACAAAGAATAATTTTTAGAGAGATAGATTTTATATCGTTTCACTTTTACATTTGTAATGGGAATCTTATGAAAAGGTAAAAAATTATTGACAGAAAAGTTAAACCATTTAATCCATAGCAATAATCAATTTTTGAAGTCTACATCGTTATAACTTATGTCCGTATCGCCAATCAATTAATCTTAAAAACGGCTTTTATTTTCTGCTCAAGGTTCCTCAACGTTACGGATTTAAAGAGCAATTAGAAGTGGTGGTGACGCATTAACAAAAACTTCTTGCAGCTACGAGGACGAATAAATCGAGATACGCGAGCAAGCTCTCGGTCAATCTAGCACAACAAAAGATTTTCCATGCCGGAGAATGACGATGGAATGGAGAAAGGGCGAGAGCGGGAGCTTTTCGACCACACCAGCGAAATGGAATGCCCTGAAATTTTATATTTATGCTTCATGCCCAGACTATATGTATTGCCGGTTTCGGTAGGAACTCGACCGAGTGGACAAAATCGATATCGACGTCGATACATGTCACGAT